CATTTACTTCCAACATCACACGATCTACTTAACAAGAAAATTTTACTGACAACGGCAATTAACCTACAGTATTAGTTAATTTGACAATTCACTAAAAATCAAAACGATACATTTCAAGCAAATCAATGAACTTGAACCGCCAAAAGAAACTCTCCTCACGCTGCGTTTGTTGTTTTCCATGTTACCTATTATACATTGGTAAAATCCTGGTTGGTATATATTTCCTGTTGTTCCTTGGTCGCATAAATTAACAAGTGTATACTTGAAGAGTAATTCTAATTTATTGTGTCACTCACGAAGGACTTTCACTGTTATTCTCAATCGGCTTACACTTGTAGTTCCAAAATGAGGTTCTGTTCAAAATATGCCTTACCATCACCACAATAAAAAAACAAATCTTAAAGCTCAAGGCTCATCCATTATTTATTTTCGCCCATCGCCGAATAACAAATTTTAGGTGGTCTGCCAGTAGTAATGAGAGTATCCAAGTTTAAAATAAAGACTAAATTATAAATGAGATTTCAAATTAATACGTATACCTCTAATGCGGCAAGAAGTCCGTATATAGTTGCTGTGAGAACTTTGTATGAGAACAGAAATGTGATCACACCATTAGCGTACTGAAAAGGATTCATTATTTATCTAATAAAAAGAAGAAAACTGAATGTACTAGAAATCCGGAGAAAACAACATCATGATTAAAATCTGCAAAAATAAGGAGACGAAAATTTAGGATACTTGTTGTTACTTTATCTCAAGTTATGACCACCGGATATTTCTGATAGGAATATATTTATTATTATCATCATTATTATGCTTATTAATGGTACAGAACGCCAACAAAGTGAAGCTAGGAAACAAATATAGAAACCACGATATATCCATTATGGCACACCAGGTATATGATGACATATTTTGATAATTGCAACGTATAACTTTGGCAGTGGGTCCATTTAGAATATTTTCAGATCGGGTAACTCATTTCTATCAGACAGTCTTCAGTTAAAATTGTGCTCAAATATCCAGTTGGGAATTCTATGTCGCCTTAGCTACCCCATTCTTCAAACAAAAAACAACCTTTTGGAAACCCTGCCATTATGCCCCACCACTATTCTTAGTAGTAAACAGGTTATTATTATTATTATCATTATCATTTTCTTTGATTTCTGGCGTTTACACATTTCTTTCCGGGTCCCGTCGAGGGACCTAAGGTTAGAAATGGCGTCATGACACTTTCCACTGACAAAAAAAAAAAAATAAAATAAATTACATAGATAAAGCCCTTCGTAAGGTGTGGGCTGTACTTGTCAGAACAATTTTTTGTATCTCCTTGAGGCATGGACCTCCAGGAATCCCTTCAATTAGTCTACTGCAATCTTTTCCAACCAGTCCTAGGGCTCCAACTACAACAGGGATTGTTGATGTTCCCATATGCCACATTTTCGAGATTTCTATTTCAAGGTCCTTGCACTTTGACAACTTTTTGAATATCTTCAAAGATACATTGCAGTCTGCAGGGACTGCGATATCAATAAGGAGGCACCGTTTTTGTTTGTGGTCTTTAATAACAATATCTGGACGGTTGGCTTTGATTGTTCTGTCAGTGTGTATTGTGTAGTCGCATAGAATTGTAACAGGTCCTATCTCCGTAACCGGGTCTGGGTGGTGTTCATACCAGTTTCTTTCTGTTTTCTTCCCGTAGAAGTTGCAGATTTTCCAGTGCAGATATTGGCCCACTCTGTCATGTCGGGTTTTATATTCAGTGGGTGCCAACACCGTACAACCTGATACAAGATGATCAATCGTTTCTGGATATTTATCACAGAATCTGCATTTTGGGCTGACACAATATTTTAGTATATATGCTTGATAATTCCTAGTTAGCAAGCATTGGTCCTGCGCAGCAAGGATAAAACCTTCAGTTTCCGCTTTCAACCCTGCACTACGTAGCCACTGATGGGTACGGGTTTTGTCTACGTCAGATTGTTTGGTACGGGCAGAGTATTGGCCATGAAGCGGTTTATCTTGCCATCGCTTCTATAACTGGTCGGTTGCATTCGTCTTTATTATTATTATTATTATTATTATTATTGCTTCCAGTAATCGTTAAAATTTTACAGTCGATCTTTGCAGCATATGAACAGAACTACAAAATAATGGATGGAAAATGTCAGTTTATACCTTAGAATCTTGATAAGCAGTAAAAAATCACCCAAATTGACTTCACTGTCTATATTTAAAAAGTCAGAATTGAAGTTCAAGGCATACAGTGTCAAAACTAAGATCCAGCATTACAGCAGCCATGTCACTTGGTATGGATCTGAGTGCTTGAAAGTTACAGTGATATTCTAAGCGTAGCTTAGATGTGGTACAACGCCGAAAGTACGAGGCACCCACTATAGAATGAAACAAGAAAAAAGGTTGATGTCTTCCAGAAAAGTTGTCTAAAAAGATCTGTAATTTTACCTTAGAAGATCTCTAATGAAGAACAGTAGAGAAAATGCAAACAATAAGAACATTTATCTTGATATTAAGAAACAAAGATTATGATGCTCCAGAAAAATAAAAGAATAGGTAAATTTACAATAAAAGAATAGGTAAATTCCAATAAAAGAATAGGTAAATTTACCTTGAAGTGAACCCTAACTGGAAATAGAAAGAGAAGCAGACCAAAAACTACTTGATTGAAGACATTAATGATGATGCGAACAGATTAAAGCGAAAGACAACATTCAGTGATGGGATATGCTTGCAAACTCATATCCCAAATGATAACATAATGAAAAAAGTTCAATAATCTTTGTTTTACATTTAAAGATAAATTTCTTCATAACTAAATACGGGTTTTGTCAATTATCCTATCTAATCAGAGACAAAACCTCTCTTTTCTCGCAAAACAGTACATTTTCCATGTCTTACATTATGTTGTTATAGACACAGCGTCCTAGAGAATAAACGAAACAACAATTGCCGCGGGGAGAAAGGAGAAGGCAATAATTTCAAATCAATTTCTTCTTTCTCTCTTGGATTAACCATAATTCTACTAACCAACCTCCTTAATGACTTTAATCATCTTTTGGTTCCATTCTGCAAGATTTCTTCCATGTGATTTGCTCATTTCCTCTTTTCTATCTCCGATCCTAAAGTTTCAGTGAGAAGGCTTTGGTAAGGATAACTAGCGATGAGACACTGAAAGGAGGGTTAAATTCATGCTTTTCGCGTGACCGTTATTACGAACATGATAAAACCAGTTTCAATCAGAAGGTTTATGTTACTGCAAGTGTTATAGGCGGCAATCAGTTTTTATACGGCTATAATATATTATTGATATTTACGAAACTTAGCTTAATATAACAAAAGCCAAAATATCACAAGAAAATTCTAAATATCTTTATTTTTGATGCAATGTTTCTTCAGGACGGAGACCACCATGACTCTCTACAAATTACGTTGTTTATTAGCTTAGAATTGCTATGTATTCTTGGAAAAATATAATTGTGTGGTTTCCCGTTGCATTCTACATGGTTTGAAATTCAGTGTCCCTTCTCTTAAACCGATTGCCACCCAATGCCCGAGCTCAATATTTCTTACCATTTAATCCATATCTGGAGGAAAATAAATGGATTCATGGTTCTGATTATAGCATTTTTGCGAACGAGAACCCAGCAAACGAAACTGGAATTTAACATCGGCTGGATGCTTCTATTTTCTGCTCCAATAACTATCACACTAACCAAACTTCTTTATAAACCCTTGCGGAGAGAAACCAGTGGATGTGAGCACATTAGACAGTGGAGAATGCGCTAAATCGCTACTTTCCTAGAAAATTATCATTCGATGTTTTAAATTTTATCTAATATTGAACACAAACTTCTAACACAGATCTGTAATACGATCTCATCCGCCAAACAGACCAGGGATATATAACATTTACAGATATCGCTGATCATTTGTAGAGATAGTTTATAAGTAATAAGTAATGAACTAAATGAATAAAACATAAAACCTTTGAAACAATTATTCAGGTTTATTCATGTGCTTCAGCATTGTGACGGGAAGACTTTGGAAAATAAGGAAAAACAATAATGTTTGAGAAGGTTCTTTCCTTGTAGCTCTGATCAGTGTGCTTGCCGCTAACGGGTCAATTGGTTCCTTTTTTATGGAGATTCATCATCACACTCATGCCAGCTTAATGAGAAAAAAATACATCATATCTCCCAGTCCACCCTCGTCCCACAACGAAATATTTGGATCGAGACTGAGCGAAGTGTTACTCCCACTCTTGGTTAGTATACCCAATTGAACGTTTTCTTCCATTTTCAGCTCTTTAATTAGCAAAATCGTGTATTTCTACACAAAACAGCGTAAAACCAGAGAATGGATTAGGAAGATTGGGTTGCGTCGAACATCTCAAGAGAGTCTACCTATCTTGAAAATCATGATTCAAAAATTTTACTTTGAACTGAGCAAGAGCACTTCCCAAAAACCAAAGAAATAACTTGCACTCAAGTAACTTACATCTTGAAACATGAATATATTTGTTAAGTTGTTGTTATTAAATGTTTTTATTCTAATAATTATAAATGTGTGTGGATGTGTTAATAGAATAAAAACATTGCATTTGTATATTTCTATGTAATTATTAGATCAAAACACTAAGTATGAAGATGTATATATAATTATTTAGGTTTAAAACATTGTATATATATTGTTTCTATATAGTACGATAATTTTCTAGTAAAAATTATATATATAATGAGTAGCGGAAAAAAAAAATATATATATATATATATATATATATATATATATATATATATATATATATAATGATGAAAAAAATCCATAAATACAATATAGCAATAGTGTTTATATTTCCTGGCTGTAAGTTAGTTGCAGTTAAAGATTTCCTTGGCCATTTTTTATTGGTCAATTGTGTATCAATAAAGAGTGTTTGATTAGAAATATGAAACAGAATTGTATGTTGGTGTGTGTTTATTTAC